AATGTGTTGAAGATATTCATTGCTTTCTGACTAAATATTAACGATACTTTTCGCAACTGACACAATTGATTATCTTCTATGAATTAAAAGACAGAACTATTTTACTTCGATGTTCTGAATGAATTGAATGTTTCTTTAAATGTTCTGGTAATTAGCGAAGTTGCATAGCTAAGTGTCTTTACTAAAAACGAGATTTCTCGTTGCCAGTGCGCAATGTGTTAACCGCATCACCGTCAAAGATCGATACCCGTTACCCTTGATCGAAGATCAGCTCGATAATCCTTGCGTGGGCTTTGAGAAAACCCACGATAGGATTTCAAAAAAATACTGGCTACTCTATTTAAATTATTTTATCGACATTATCATAACTTTTATCAATAATTAAATAAAATACAATAGTACAATTTAAATTTCTATTTAATAAAATAGACCCCCCTAAATATTATTAAATTTATAATTTAAACACGTACAACATTATTTCTATTTAAATTATTTTACGACACTATCATAACTTTTATCAATAATCAAATAAAATACAATAGTACAATTTAAATTTCTATTTAATAAAACAAACCCCCCTAAATTTTATTAAATCTGTGATTTAAACACGTACAAAATTATTTCTACTTAAATTATTTCATTGACATTATCGTAATATAATTCGGAAAATGAGAGGTTTCGTAAAGGAAATATATTAATCGCGGCAGCCGGAAAGAGGAAGAGGAGCATCGAGCACACGCGGCCCCGATTCATCGCGAGCGGTGCACGTGTGCATTGTGATGCTCGCGTGTGCATTCGCGGCGTCTTTCGATAGAATGCACCGCGGGAGAGGCTGCAGAACGCGGGGAAGCGACGGATTGGTCGGCCAGGGGAGGCTCGTCCGTATTTACGCTCGCGATGCGTCATTATCGAGCGCCGGCATACACATATTCCACGCTGCGTCCGCGAAGGTCTCGGTTTTTCCTCCGGGGGCGGCGAACAAACGACGTCGACGTTGCATAACCCGTCGCTCACGTGAATTGCTCACCCTATTCTCCGCTGTACGGCCGCCCCCGCGATTGCTATACAGTCTACTTCGAAAGAAAGTCATTGGGAAGAAATAAAGACCGGTATAAACACGGTCTGATCATTGTTCGCGAGTAATTAACCGCTTGTAGTATTATTCGCTTTATTTGTTCAGCTCGTGTGACATGTTTCTATTAGTTTAGAAGAAACGCGAACGAATTGTCCACTCCTCTTTAACCTCTTGGCGTACAATGACGAGTGAGACTCGTGATGAAGATTTCTAGATTAATTTAACAACAATGTTATTCATTAGCCACGGATCAAAGGAACAACTATTTTGCTATTATCATTTTATTATCTTCAAATGAAATTTCCACTTGAAGTAGGATGGACAATTTTGTTGCATTTCTTCCAAATTGTCGATAGTAAAATGGTACATAAGCTTAGTGGCGAAAGTAAATAGTACGCCAAGGGGTTAAATACAAATTTACTTTCAAGATAATATATTGATGATAGCAAAATAGTTTTCTGATCTATGCGCATTGAACGACATTGTTTATTAAACTAATCCCGAAGTGTTCATCGCGAGTCTCACTCATCGTATAGCAAGGAGTTAACTCTGCGGTCGAATGCCGCCGTAATGGCGCCATAATTTACGAGATTCAGTTTAACCTTTTGCAGGCGAATGTCGACATTTCGAGAGATCGAATCTCCATACTTGGAATACTAAGTCGCAAACGAATGATTTAATTGCTCGAACAACTAGAGGTGAGTACATAGTTTCCACATCTATCATTTAATCGATCAAGATAGAGTTTAGCTTCATCTGCGAAAGGTTTCGTATGTTAAAAAATCTCCGCTCGCAAACGGTTGATACTTTCGTCACGAGTCCGAGACGATATTGCAGGTTAAGGGGTTAATGAAGTCGTCGCCGGGTCGTTTCCGTGTTTCGAATTCCACGGGCGTACGTGGACAGGCGAGGCGGCATTATTTTTAGTCGGTTTAAAAAAGATTTGCAATCCACGGTGTCCCGTCGAATGGAACCGGTTTCGTTCCGTTCACCCGCGCGATGAATCGGCGCGCAATGCGCAGCTGTATTTCGCGTGCCGCTTGGCACCGGGCACGTCGATCCCGTGACGTTTCACGCGATGCATTATGCACCACCTGGCGACCACGCCTGCACCCCCCGCGCATCCCTTCGTCGTCCTCGAATGCGAAATCATTGCGAAATCGACGTCATTCGCAAATTTTGCCCGGCCTTTCCGCGGCGGAGCTTGCGTTACACCTTGGCCAAAAGGTGTTGTCTCGATTTTCGATGTGGTTTACATCGCTAGATCGCCCCATAAGCTTGTACCATTTATTTTTCCACCGTGTAAAATGATATTTGATTAACCCTTTGCTCTCGAGAGGCGACTCTCGGTGCAAAACTTCAATATTTACCATTGAACTGTGTTTAACGTTCCAATTCACGAAACATTTATACTTCCGACCTCTGATTTATCAATTTCTGTATTTATGTCTGACCTCTGGTTGTGTCTGGTTTTTTTTCAATTATTTATACTGAAAAATCTTCCGAGCGCAAAGGGTTAATTCTTTAGGGATGAAGATTCTCTGAAATATACAAAACCTTCAGCAGATGAAGGTAAATTATATAAGTTGCTTAAATACAAGAATGAAGCTACACGTCGATCTCTTGCTTTAGTGACTGAATCATTCGTTTGTCACTCAATGTTCCAAATATGAACATGTGGCTCATACAATGAGTTTAGTATAACATTCTTGCAGCTTCACGACGTGTCGGATACCTTCTACCGACTAAACTGACGCATGAAGATTTAATCACTCGACTCGTATCGCTCCTTAATTACAAAACGTAGCGCAAAAATTATCAACACCGCGGAAACCTATGGGACGTCTTAGTATAATACGATAGAACCTCCTATAACTCGGTTAAAACATCGTTGAAAAATAACCACGTGCGAACGTGAGATTTTCCATAAGAAACTGATACAGAAGATCAACTTTGCTCTATGAATTATTTCTCGATTATGAGCGATACAATTACATTGCCATTAATCGTTTACTGAAAGAAGAACAACATTCGAGGAATATTCTATGTCTACGTTTGCTCTGAAGCATAATAGTCGACGACAGTAGAATAATATTCAGTTCGAACTGAAAGGAATCGTTTTATTTTCCTTAGTACATTTCTATGTGCGGAAAATATAATAATTTTAGAGTAGTTTCTTTAAGACTCATTAAAATATTTAATATTAGAACTAGTGCAATATTGGAGCCTACAGAGTTCAAAGGGTTAAATGCTCGGTAGTTTTAGTGTTAAGCCGTATTAAAAATCTTCGCCTCGTGTCTGAATTGTAAGGCAAGAGGTTAACAGTTGATAATTTTCCTCAAGAAACAGAGACGTTCCACGATCATTTTTCACTGAATCGTTTCTCCCGAGGAATTCTGTGGCAGGTAGACTCGAAGGTCATCGATGATGGTATCTGGCCGTCGATACGCGATAAGGCGAACTCGAACTTTAATCGGTGAACGTCGATCCCGGTCCCAGGTAAAATTCCTTCGTCTAATCCCACGGAAGTCGGGGATTTCGTTTTATCAGTCGAGATAGGCAGATTCGATTCTGATTTGAGGAACGAGAGAGGACGGTCGGAGGTGTGCGTTCGCGGCCACTCGGTGAGTTAGTAATCCGGCCAAAAATAAAAGGGCGCGCGGTGACCGGTGACAAATCGCGCAACACGTTCGTGCGCTTCTCGCGAACCTGTGATTTTAAGCAGAATTTAACACTAGAACTACCGAGCATTTAATACGCTAGATTATTTTCGGTTTCTTTGGATATTCATCGTAGTACTCTAGTGAAACTATTTTCAAAATCATTTCGAATATTCAATGCTTTTAAGACATCGATAATTGCGAGACAAATCGAAACCAGTCATTTTGACTGGTAGTTCTAGTTGACACGTTAAACGCCACACCAGTCATTGATAACTGAATTGCTTGGAAACAATCGTAACATGCAAGATAACGGTCCAATGAAAATGCTTAATAACGCGACTAAGCTGATAGTGTAATGCAGGGATAGTAACGCTGAATAATTAATCATTACCTGCTTTCTCTTGTTACAACGGAGTAACTCTATAATAAAATAGTCAAGATTCTCGTGGCGATTAACGTGTTAACAAACATAAATGCCATTGAGTTGTGTTAGCATTGTGTTCTTGTTAGCAATCTGTATGGTTCATACTAAATCTAGATACGAAAAGAGCATGAAATATTTTCTGTTACCACATTATTAACCAGTTAACTGTGGAATTTAGTTGGAAAAACCTCTCGTTCTCGCAATAAAATAATGCAGGACGAATGCACGTAGAGTATATTTCAACGAAAGATCAAAACGAAACAAAGAAGAATTACATGTTTGTGACAAAATGAAAAATTCATCGCTGAAAGAATTAGTATCATATCAAGCCTTACGATGACGTGTATCCTCGTCAAACGCAGTCAACTGGTTAACGGCAAATAGTTCTAACAAATGCACCTACTAAATTAAATCGTAAGGCAAGGGGTTAATCCTGCGCAAACCGCAGTTGCTACAAACGTACCGCGATGAATGAACTTGACCGGTGCAATGAATACATCGCAGATGTTTACGCGAGTGTCAATTGAGTCGGAAGCGAATGCGGTTAAGTAGATTTTTCAATACTTTCTAATTTTTCTAAACTTTATTTATTCTATTAAAGTTTATATTTTTTCTATTATTTATTTATTCTATTATTTATTCTATTAATATTCTTTCTAATAATTACAGGATCTATTCTAATTCTAAATCATTAACCCCCGCAAAAGTATCTCCACAGTTTCAACGACTGTAAAGTAAAAACTCATTGCTTTCCCCTTCTTCAATACACTTAACCAGTTTCACCGACAACAATGATTCGTATCGTAAAAGATTCCATCATTGAATAACACCAACTCACCTTTGGACTTCTGCTGGTGCGAGTAAAATTTAAAGATGCTCGTTTTCCGGCCCGATTGGGTGCGCTCTAGTTCCTGAAACCTAGGAGATTCGTCGAACATCTCATCCTCCTCTTTCTCATCATTCTCTTCCTCTTCCTCTTCTTCCTCCTCTTCCTCTTCCTCTTCCTCCTCCTCCTCCTCCTCCTCCTCCTGTTTCTTCTTCAACTCATCCTCCATGATCGACGGTCAATTTGCCTTCGAACTACCTATCCACTGTCCTCCCGGCGGTGGACAAGGGGTTCCCCGTGGGTCGCTCCAGTTGCTATCCTGCGCAGGCGAACAGAAACGAATGAACTTAGAGTGACTTGAGTATTTAATTTACACCGTCCCTCTGTTTACGCGGCACTTCCTTCAGGCGAGTCTCTGTTCCACGCAAATTGTAACGCTATTAAAATCAATTATTTGCACGCGATATCGATGTACGATCCAAATAAACTATACTTTTCATTCCTTCGTTAACAAGTTGTCTGTCACGGTCATTGATGCTTGCGAATCACAATGTCGCAGCACGATCAACGACAAAAGTGATCAACATCCCGACTAGATTTGCAATGTAAGAATCACGATATAAAATAGTTAACACTAGAACTACGTGCATTTATCGGTAATGATATGCAAAGTCTCTAAAGATCGTGACAATACATTGTTTCCCGATTTCAGACATTTCCTACAGTGTTAAACTATTTACTTCAAAAATCGGATACACTTTGGAGGTACCAGTAATTGCGGAATAAGGAAACTAAAACCGGCAGCTTTGACCGGTACGTTAATTATCGTGTTAACGCGTTCGCTACCAGCGTATTGTCTTCGATCCAATGAATCTAAACGAGACATTAGAAAAATGAAACTGAAACGAGTCACTGTACTACTAATCTCGCAGTTTATAATTTTTAATAACAATATCTATAAAACTAATTTCGTTTTCATCGCTTAACCCTTTGTCCGAAGTACTCTTGGTTCCTCACTTTGAGGTTCACATCGACGTTGGTTCATTCAATTTCAGCTTAATACGACGCTCTATTTATTCAAGAATATTTGGGAGTCGTTGAAATGTTACCTTTAAATGGTACAATTTTGACTACAAATAAATATAGAAAAAATTGTTAAAACAGGTAGAGGTTGCAATAAAATAGAATAGTCAGACTCGACATAGGAAGGGTTAAATATTAACTCTTTCCACTCGGAAGATTCTCACTAGAAATATCCAACAATTTCCAACGAGACAAAGACGATATTCTTTGAAACTAACTCGAGCAGAAATCACAAGTACCGAGGAGCTACAAGCTTATTCGAGTGCAAAGCGTTAATTGCAAAGCGTCTCATTTTGTTTCCAAGTTAATTAACGTTTAACTGGGAATATTGTAACACTTTCTGATTAAGTAAAGACGATATTCTTCATAGGACTGCATAAATATATACAACCGTCACGAACATATAACGCTGATAACGAACATGTTAATCGTTTATCCCTGTCACGAAGGACCAAGATTCTCATTAGCAGCGAACGTGTCAAGCTAACCGAGAGAAATATGTATTAAAACTTACACAGCTCGCCTCCCTCGTTTCGTTTCCTTTCGTACCGACGGGCTCTGTTCGCGCGATTCTCATTCGCTCGAGGGGAATCCACGTGGAACGAGTGCTCCGCGTAAACGGAGGGACGGGCGCAAGGTGGATCGCGCGGCGGGCTCGCTGATTAGCGCACCGGCAAGGTGTGCCGGACACATTCGGCCGAGAGGACGCGCGAGACTCGTCGCCGATGCCTTTCGTCTCCTGTGCCTCCGCTCGCGGAGGCTTTCCCTTCGCCCCGCGCCGCGGCCGACCCCGTCCGGCTCCGCGCGTTACGTGCCGCACTGGTTCACGTTCGGCGGTCTCCTCATAGTCACGGCCAGCGGCGA